ACACCTCACAGTACACACCACACAGTACACACCACACAGTACACACACCTCACAGTACACACCACACAGTACACACCACACAATACACACAGTACACACACCACACAGTACACACACCTCACAGTACACACACCACACAGTACACACCACACAGTACACACCACACAGTACACACCACACAGTACACACACCTCACAGTACACACCACACAGTACACACACCTCACAGTACACACCACACAGTACACACCACACAGTACACACACCACACAGTACACACACCACACAGTACACCTCACAGTACACACACCACACAGTACACACCACACAGTACACACACCTCACAGTACACACACCACACAGTACACACAGTACACACACCACACAGTACACACACCTCACAGTACACACACCATACAGTACACACAGTACACACACCACACAGTACACACACCACACAGTACACACACCACACAGTACACACCACATAGTACACACACCACACAGTACACACACCACAGTACACACCACACAGTACACACCACACAGTACACACCTCACAGTACACACCACACAGTACACACACCTCACAGTACACACACCTCACAGTACACACCACACAGTACACACCACACAGTACACACCACACAGTACACACCACACAGTACACACAGTACACACACCACACAGTACACACACCACACAGTACACACACCACACAGTACACACACCACACAGTACACACCACACAGTACACACCACACAGTACACACACCTCACAGTACACACCACACAGTACACACCACACAGTACACACAGTACACACACCACACAGTACACACACCACAGTACACACCACACAGTACACACCACACAGTACACACACCACACAGTACACACACCACACAGTACACACACCACACAGTACACACACCACACAGTACACACACCACACAGTACACACACCACAGTACACACACCACACAGTACACACACCACACAGTACACACTACACAGTACACACACCACACAGTACACACACCACACAGTACACACCACACAGTACACACACCACACAGTACACACACCACAGTACACACACCACACAGTACACACACACTACACAGTACACACCACACAGTACACACACCACACAGTACACACACCACACAGTACACACACCACACAGTACACACACCACACAGTACACACACCACACAGTACACACACACACAGTACACACACCACACAGTACACACACCACACAGTACACACACCACACAGTACACACACCACACAGTACACACAGTACACACACCACACAGTACACACACCACACAGTACAGTACACACCACACAGTACACACACCACACAGTACACACACCACACAGTACACACACCACACAGTACACACACCTCACAGTACACACCACACAGTACACACCACACTACACACACCACACAGTACACACCACACAGTACACACACACCACACAGTACACACACCACACAGTACACACACCACACAGTACACACCACACAGTACACACACCACACAGTACACACCACACAGTACACACACCTCACAGTACACACACCTCACAGTACACACCACACAGTACACACACCACACAGTACACACACCACACAGTACACACCACACAGTACACACACCACACAGTACACACACCACACAGTACACACACCTCACAGTACACACCACACAGTACACACCACACAGTACACACACCTCACAGTACACACACACACACACCACACACACCACACAGTACACACCACACAGTACACACACCACACAGTACACACACCACACAGTACACACACCACACAGTACACACACCACACAGTACACACACCACACAGTACACACACCTCACAGTACACACACCACACAGTACACACACCACACAGTACACACACACCTCACAGTACACACACACCTCACAGTACACACATCACAGTACACACACCACAGTACACACCACACAGTACACACACCTCACAGTACACACACCTCACAGTACACACACCTCACAGTACACACAGTACCACACAGTACACACCACACAGTACACACACCACACAGTAGCATGGTCCCGCACAGTACAGGAACATAAAGTCACGTGTCGACTCTCATGTTTACAAATCATAGCAATGTTTCCCTTCTTCCTCTCCCCATTCTTTTTCATTCTATCCTCCTCTATCCAACCTTCTCGCTTCTCTCACGCTCACTAACCTGTTCTCTTCACTACCTATCCCCCCCCCACTATCCTGCTCTCTTCAGGAAACATATCATGCCGGTTAAGAGAGAATTAATTACCAAAAAGAGTGCTCGCATAACCGAATTACAGATTAAACTTGAACCATGACATGGAGGATAAAACATCGCGATGCAGAGAACTATGTGATTTCAGAGAGAGAAAGTTTTATGTGCACTGTGGAATTTGGCTTCAAACTCTGTAAATTCCTATAACTACTTGTCATTGTATTTCTCATGCTTTTGTTGATGTGTTTGGCTTCACCTCGTGCAGCTGTTGACGTGTTTGGCTTCACCTCGCGCAGATGTTGACGTGTTTGGCTTCACCACCTGCTGCTGTTGACGTGTTTGGCTTCACCTCCTGCTGCTGTTGACGTGTTTGGCTTCACCTCGCGCAGCTGTTGACGTGTTTGGCTTCACCCCCTGCTGCTGTTGACGTGTTTGGCTTCACCACCTGCAGCTGTTGACGTGTTTGGCTTCACCTCGTGACGTTGTTGACGTGTTTGGCTTCACCTCGTGCTGCTGTTGACGTGTTTGGCTTCACCCGCTGCTGCTGTTGACGTGTTTGGTGTGTTGACGTGCTTCACCACCTGCAGCTGTTGACGTGTTTGGCTTCACCTCGTGATGTTGTTGACGTGTTTGGCTTCACCTCTTGCTGCTGTTGACGTGTTTGGCTTCACCCCCTGCTGCTGTTGACGTGTTTGGCTTCACCCCCTGCTGCTGTTGACGTGTTTGGCTTCACCTCGGAATGTTGTTGACGTGTTTGGCTTCACCTCTTGCTGCTGTTGACGTGTTTGGCTTCACCACCTGCAGCTGTTGACGTGTTTGGCTTCACCACCTGCAGCTGTTGACGTGTTTGGCTTCACCTCGTGATGTTGTTAACGTGTTTGGCTTCACCTCTTGCTGTTGTTGACGTGTTTGGCTTCACCTCGTGATGTTGACGTGTTTGGCTTCACCTCGTGATATTGACGTGTTTGACTTCACCGCCTGCTGCTGTTGACGTGTTTGGCTTCACCTCTTGCTGTTGTTGACGAGTTTGGCTTCACCTCGTGATGTTGACGTGTTTGGCTTCACCTCGTGATATTGACGTGTTTGACTTCACCGCCTGCTGCTGTTGACGTGTTTGGCTTCACCACCTGCAGCTGTTGACGTGTTTCGCTTCACAGCCTTCTGCAGTTGACGTGTTTGGCTTCACCTCGTACAGCTGTTGACGTGTTTGGCTTCAACTCGTGCAGCTGTTGACGTGTTTGGCTTCACCACCTGCAGCTGTTGACGTGTTTGTCTTCACCTCGTGCAGCTGTTGACGTGTTTGGCTTCACCACCTGCAGCTGTTGACGTGTTTGGCTTCACCTCGTGCAGCTGTTGACGTGTTTGGCTTCATCACCTGCAGCTGTTGACGTGTTTGGCTTCACCTCGTGCAGCTGTTGACGTGTTTGGCTTCACCTCGTGCAGCTGTTGACGTGTTTGGCTTCACCTCGTGCAGCTGTTGACGTGTTTGGCTTCACCTCGTGCAGCTGTTGACGTGTTTGGCTTCACCTCGTGCAGCTGTTGACGTGTTTGGCTTCACCCCCTGCTGCTGTTGACTCGTTTGGCTTCACCTCGTTCAGCTGTTGACGTGTTTGGCTTCACCCGTTCAGCTGTTGACGTGTTTGGCTTCACCTCGTGCAGCTGTTGACGTGTTTGGCTTCACCACCTGCAGCTGTTGACGTGTTTGGCTTCACCTCGTGCAGCTGTTGACGTGTTTGGCTTCACCACCTGCAGCTGTTGACGTGTTTGGCTTCACCTCGTGCAGCTGTTGACGTGTTTGGCTTCACCTCGTGCAGCTGTTGACGCTTCACCTCGTGCAGCTGTTGACGTGTTTGGCTTCACCTCGTGCAGCTGTTGACGTGTTTGGCTTCACCTCGTGCAGCTGTTGACGTGTTTGGCTTCACCTCGTGCAGCTGTTGACGTGTTTGGCTTCACCCCCTGCTGCTGTTGACGTGTTTGGCTTCACCCCTGCTGCTGTTGACTTGTTTGGCTTCACCCCCTGCTGCTGTTGACTCGTTTGGCTTCACCTCGTTCAGCTGTTGACGTGTTTGGCTTCACCTCGTTCAGCTGTTGACGTGTTTGGCTTCACCTCGTGCAGCTGTTGACGTGTTTGGCTTCACCCCCTGCTGCTGTTGACTTGTTTGGCTTCACCACTTGCAGCTGTTGACTTGTTTGGCTTCACCCCCTGCTGCTGTTGACTTGTTTGGCTTCACCTCGTTCAGCTGTTGACGTGTTTGGCTTCACCTCGTGCAGCTGTTGACGTGTTTGGCTTCACCATGTTTAATACCAACTCCACTACTCATCAAATAAAGTACTTAACACAGGTCAGGTGTAAAATACATAATAATTTATAATAAAAATATTTTTAATGCAACAAATCATTTTCATTCAAGATAAAAAAAAAGTTGCACTTAAATTAATCTTCACAAAAATACAAAACTCCTGACCACATTAGCCTTTTTTTCTGTTCATGTACATAATAATATGTAGGTTGGGTATATATGTTCATGTACATAATATGTAGGTTGGGTATATATGTACAGATTGTCTAGGACTTGACTCACAATGTTGAGGACTAAAGCAGATGTGTTGGTCGGTCAGTGATGTGTTGTGGTGGGCCTTAATGACCCCCCAGAGGTACTAGTCGCACAGGTCAACATTAACCACTCCTATAGCCCGTGTCTCCTTGTTCCAGGACAAGGATATACACGGCCAGAGGAAGCCGCTGCTGGACATGACGGTAAGGTCGTCTCTGCACCGTGTTGCTAGTACTTCACAACTCTGATTTTTATGCTTTTTCCTCTAAATTAGCGTCAACTGAAGACTACGCCAGCTAACCTGCCCCCTCCCCTGCCCCCCTCCCCTGCCCCCCTCCCCTGCCCCCCCCTCCCCTGCCCCCTCCCCTGCCCCCTCCCATGCCCCCTTCCATGCCCCCTCCCCTGCCCCCTCCCCTGCCCCCTCCCCTGCCCCCATCCCTGGGAAGGTGATGAGTCTATCAACAGTGATAATGAGGCAATAAGGGACACACGATAAACGCTGCTTACGGCCTCCAGGTAAAAATGTTGTAATCAAATTTTAAGGAGAGTGACGAACCTTGTAAGACGTTCAAAATAGAAAATATATTTATTGATCTTACTTCACACACACGCACACACACACACACACACACACACACACACACACACACACACACACACACACACACACCCGTTCTCGCAAATTTAATAAGTCAATATTGACTTATTAAATGTGTGCATAGGTGACATACTTAACATAATAGTTTCCCTTGAAAAGCTTCATAGAAAACACCGACCTTACCTAACCTACTTAGTATATTAAGATAAGCATCTTATTGCTTCGTAATTACAATTATTACCTAACCTATACCTATAATAGGTTAAGTAACAATTGTAATTACGAAGCTATAAGATGCTTATTTTAACATACTAAGTAGGTTAGGTAAGGTCGGTATTTTCTATGAAGCTTTTCAAGGGAAACTATTATGTTTAGTATGTCACCTATGCACGCAACTAATAAGTCAATATTGACTTATTAAATTTGCGAGAACGGGTTGCACACACACACACACACACACACACACACACACACACACACACACACACACACACACACACACACACACACACGAGGATACGTGGAGTGCCAAGCTACTGGAGGTGATGACTAAAAACTTTTTAACCCAGCATGTCAGTGAACCCACAAGGATTTTAACCCAGCATGTCAGTGAACCCACAAGGATGAGAGGAAATGACGAACCAGCGAGACTCGACCTGGTTTTCACCCTGAACGACTCTGACATAAGAGAAATCGGTTTTGAGGCCCCAGTAGGAATGAGCGACCACAATGTATTGGTGTTTGAGTACCTGATTGAAGAAGGGTTATTGAACTCGAGGAGGGATACCGAAACCAAAAGGTTAGCATACCGAAAGGGAAACTATGAGGAGATAAGAAAATTCCTAACATATATAGCATGGGAAACAGAGCTCTGGGAAAAGACTGCCAAAGATATGATGGACTACATCACGCAAAAGTGCAAGGACGCAGCAAACAAGTTTGTCCCAGCCCAAAAGGAAAACAGTGAAATGAAGATGAGAAACCCATGGTTTAATCAGAGATGTAGGCTAGCTGAGCAGCAAAGTAAAAGGGCATGGAGAAACTATAGAAATAACAGGACACTGGAGAGCAGAGAAAGATACCAGAATACTAGGAATGAAAATGTCAGGATGAGAAGAGAGGCAGAAAGACAATACGAAAATGACATCGCAAGCAAGGCAAAGACTCAGCCTAAATTGCTGCATAGCCACATCAGGAGAAAAACAACAGTAAAGGAACAGGTTATGAGATTAAGGATAGGGGCGGAAGGATTCATTACAAACGACAAGGAAGTGTGTGAGGAACTGAATAAGAAATTCCAGGTCTTCACCTTAGAGCAAGGAGAAATCCCAGAGATAAGAGAGGGAATAGCTAACCAGGGACCACTGGAAGAGTTTGAGATTACCAGCAGGGAAGTAAGGAAGTGTTTGCTAGAGTTGGATGTGACAAAGGCAATAGGCCCAGATGGAATCTCCCCTTGGATACTTAAGGAAGGAGCACAAGAACTGTGCCTACCACTCTCCATAGTGTATAACAAATCACTGGCAACAGGGGAACTGCCAGAAATTTGGAAAGCAGCTAACGTGGTCCCGATATACAAGAAAGGGAATAGACAGGAGGCAATGAATTACAGGCCAGTGTCCCTAACCTGCATACCATGTAAACTGATGGAGAAGATTGTGCGAAGAAAGCTAGTGGAGCATCTGGAGCGAAAGAACTTTGTAACACAGCATCAACATGGGTTCAGGGATGGCAGGTCCTGCCTCACAGGGTTACTTGAATTCTACGACCAGGCAACAAAAATAAGGCAAGAAAGAGAAGGGTGGGCAGACTGCATATTTTTGGATTGTCAGAAAGCCTTTGACACAGTGCCACACAAGAGTCTAGTGAAAAAGCTGGAGATGCAGGCTGGAGTGAAAGGGAAGGTACTCCATTGAATAAAGGAGTACCTAAGCAACAGGAGACAACGAGTCATTGTGAGGGGTGAGGTCTCAGATTGGCAAAACGTTACGAGTGGAGTCCCGCAGGGGTCAGTCCTTGGACCTATACTGTTTCTGATATATGTAAATAATCTCCCAGAGGGTATAGAATCGTTTCTCTCAAAGTTTGCTGATGACGCAAAAATTATGAGGAGGATTGAAACAGAGGATGATAGTAGGAGGCTACAAGATGACCTGGACAGATTGAATAAATGGTCCAACAAATGGCTGCTCAATTTCAACCCGAGTAAATGCAAAGTAATGAAACTAGGCGGCGGAAACAGGAGGCCAGACACAGGATACAGAATGGGAGATGAAGTACTTCATGAAACAGACATAGAGAAAGATGTAGGAGTTGATATCACACCAAACCTGTCTCCTGAAGCCCACATAAAAAGAATAACATCTGCGGTATACGCGAGGCTGACGTGTTTGGGCAGCCTTCAGACGCATCACCCTGAGTTATGCCGCAAAAAATTGTTGTCATATGAAGTTAATCATTTATAAAGTGCTTCACTGACTGTTAATGACTTAATTTAGACAAATAGTTCAATAGTTTACTGCGAATATCAGAGACGATCAGACATCTGCGAAAATGTGCTCGATTTTGCTGGTGTTGGACTCTTGGTCCATCACCTTCAGTAAGGCTATAACGGTCCTTCAACCTCTGTAGGGCTATAACGGTCCTTCAACCTCTGTAGGGCTATAACGGTCCTTCACCCTCTGTAGGGCTATAACGGTCCATAACCCTCTGTAGGGTTACAACAGCCTATCACCCTCTGTAGGGTCATAATGGTCCACCACCCTTTGTAGAGTCATATCAGTCCATTAAACCTCTGTAGGGTTATAACGGTCCATCACACTCAGTAGGGTTATAACGGTCCATCACACACTGGAGGGTTGTAACGGTCCATCACACTCTGGAGAGTTATAACGGTCCATTACACTCTGGAGGGTTGTAACGGTCCATCACACTCTGGAGGGTTGTAACGGTCCATCACACACTGGAGGGTTATAACGGTCCATCACACACTGGAGGGTTGTAACGGTCCATCACACTCTGGAGAGTTATAACGGTCCATCACACTCTGGAGGGTTGTAACGGTCCATCACACTCTGGAGGGTTGTAACGGTCCATCACACTCTGGAGGGTTATAACGGTCCATCACACACTGGAGGGTTATAACGGTCCATCACACTCTGGAGGGTTGTAACGGTCCATCACACACTGGAGGGTTATAACGGTCCATCACACTCTGGAGGGTTGTAACGGTCCATCACACAGTTATAACGGTCCATCACACTCTGGAGGGTTGTAACGGTCCATCACACTCTGGAGGGTTGTAACGGTCCATCACACACTGGAGGGTTATAACGGTCCATCACACACTGGAGGGTTGTAACGGTCCATCACACTCTGGAGGGTTATAACGGTCCATCACACTCTGGAGGGTTGTAACGGTCCATCACACTCTGGAGGGTTGTAACGGTCCATCACACTCTGGAGGGTTGTAACGGTCCATCACACACTGGAGGGTTATAACGGTCCATCACACTCTGGAGGGTTGTAACGGTCCATCACACACTGGAGGGTTATAACGGTCCATCACACTCTGGAGGGTTGTAACGGTCCATCACACACTGGAGGGTTGTAACGGTCCATCACACACTGGAGGGTTATAACGGTCCATCACACACTGGAGGGTTGTAACGGTCCATCACACACTGGAGGGTTATAACGGTCCATCACACACTGGAGGGTTGTAACGGTCCATCACACACTGGAGGGTTATAACGGTCCATCACACTCTGGAGGGTTATAACGGTCCATCACACACTGGAGGGTTATAACGGTCCATCACACACTGGAGGGTTGTAACGGTCCATCACACACTGGAGGGTTATAACGGTCCATCACACTCTGGAGGGTTGTAACGGTCCATCACACTCTGGAGGGTTGTAACGGTCCATCACACACTGGAGGGTTATAACGGTCCATCACACACTGGAGGGTTGTAACGGTCCATCACACTCTGGAGGGTTGTAACGGTCCATCACACTCTGGAGGGTTATAACGGTCCATCACACTCTGGAGGGTTGTAACGGTCCATCACACACTGGAGGGTTATAACGGTCCATCACACTCTGGAGGGTTGTAACGGTCCATCACACACTGGAGGGTTGTAACGGTCCATCACACACTGGAGGGTTATAACGGTCCATCACACACTGGAGGGTTGTAACGGTCCATCACACACTGGAGGGTTATAACGGTCCATCACACACTGGAGGGTTGTAACGGTCCATCACACACTGGAGGGTTATAACGGTCCATCACACTCTGGAGGGTTGTAACGGTCCATCACACTCTGGAGGGTTGTAACGGTCTATTACCTTCTGTAAAGACATAGGTGTTTATTATCCTCTGTAGGGTTGTTAAGGCCACTATGGGTCAGTAACGGGGTTCTTGATGTTATAACCTCTTGTACAGTATCCGACCCAAAGTGGGTAGTATGCCTGCAAGAACGTGTAGTAGTGCAATGAACTAAAAAGGGGGGATAAACATCACACGGTTCCCTTCTATAAATATATTCACCTTCACCACTATATATATACATATATATATATTTATATTATATAATATATA